ATGGAGTCAAAGCTTCATACAGCTTACTATGGGCTCATTTTCTGTTGAATACTGGTACATTACTCATAGTAAATAGTTGATTGCCAATTGACAGAGAAATAATACTGACAAGTGAAATTATATAGCAGTTAGGATAACTCTGAAAACAATTATTATGCCGTCAGTGTTAGGGAAGAAGTTGAGGTGGGGAAGAGTAACACTTGGGTTTTTTGTCTTTTGATGGTAAAGGGTTATTGTTTTTAATCCATTTTAATTTAAAAAGCAGAAATTTGCCACCTTTTTTTTTTTATTTTTTTAAGCCCAGACTTCTTTTGTCAGTCCCAGCCAAGACCATCAAATAACTTAACAACCACCAACCTCTTTCTGCCTTATGGTTGCAGTGATGCAGCTTGATACCATGTGCATTGGTGTTTGTTGACTTGAACTGACTTTTCTTGTATTACTGTGTCGGCTTTGGCTGCAATAGAGTTACTTTTCTTTATAGTAGCTGGTATGGGGCTATGTTTTGGATTTGTGCTGAAAACAGCATTGATAATACAGGGATGTTTTCGTTATTGCTGAGCAGTGCTTACGCAGGGTCAAGGCCTTTTCTGCTTCTCACCCCACCCCACCAGTGAGTAGGCTGGGGGTGCACAGGAAGTTGGGAGGGGACACAGCTGGAACAGCTGACCCCAGCTGACCACAGGGATATTCCACACCATATGACATCATGCTCAGCATATAAAGCTGGGGGAAGAAGGAGGAAGAGGGGACGTTTGGAGTTACGATGTTTTGTTTTCCCAAGTAGCCGTTAGGGACAGTGGAGCCCTGCTTTTCTGGAGATGGCTGAACAGCTGCCTGCCGATAGGAAGCAGTGAATGAATTCCTTGTTTTGCTTTGCTTGTGTGCATGGCTTTTGTTCTACTTATTAAACTGTCTTTATTTCAACACATGAATTTTCTCACATTTACCCTTCTGATTCTCTCCCTCATCCCACTGCAGGGGAGTGAGCAAATTGGCTGTGTGGTGCTTAGTTGCCGGCTGGAGTTAAATCATGACAATTACAGAATAAAGCAATTTTTCTGCATTGCTCCATTGTGTAGCTCAGTCCTGTGACTACCCCAAAGGGTGACAATGCCACAGTCTAGTCAATCCTGAATTCCTCATTTAAGAATGCAAACATGCCACATCAGTTTCGGCAGTGGGATTTAACTGGTAAACACTTGTCCTTCACATTGAGTCAATTGCCTGATAGACACAGTAAGCAAAATTCTCTCTTACATTATCTTTATCACATAAAGATAAAATGATAATTGCCTGGGTTTTCCTCCTAGCACTGTTCCCATATGCTGTATTCACTTTGGGATGTATTCATACCTTACACAACAGCACGTAATGTGGATATAAATGTCTTTTATGATGTCCCTCTTTCAGAGGCTGATGAAGTGATTCATATTTCCTGCTATCCAAAGCAGCCAGCTTCTGTTTTTATGCAGTCGGTGGTAAAGAATAGGGGTTGTATTCAGACCATCTGCTGTAGATGCCTACTGGAGCCATGATGACTACTTCTCCCATTGACTGTGCAAATTGGCAGCTCTCGGTAGTATGTGGTCTGAATCATTCAACAGCCTCTTGAATTTAAATACCATAGTAACCACTAAGCCCATCTTAAGCACTGTTGTAATTTAAGAAACCTACTTGTAAAAACACATATGTATCTGGTTATTTTAATTTTCTTTGGTGTCATTAACAGAACGAAGGGATTGGTTCACCTCTTTACCACACAAAGCCACTACAATATTAATTCAAATTGTATGGTTTTGAATCCATAAAGCTGTAGCAGGGTTAACACACCACCAAACAGAAATGGTTTTAATTTCCAAGACAATCATTTCCCCATGGACATGTTAGCCTGTATACAAGATTTTATACAGACAGTGCACACAGAATACAGAGATTCAGTCAAAATATTTGAGATAACAAAGGAGCTAGGAGTACTTTAATTTAACAATAGATCAGTCATGGGCTGACTAACAAAGGAATTCCTAGGAATGTACATTTGACACCCACATTCATCCAGCTTACATGGTGCCATCAGTGTTACTGGTGACATCAGTGCTAAGATGAGAGTTAACTTTATCCCATTTAACAAAGAATGAGAATTTTAACCAGATCACCCCAATCATTGCATAGGTGTCCTGGATGATAAAGGATACAGAAAGTCTGTCTCCTTCATTTGTCCTAGCAAATGAAAGCCATCATGTACATGCTGTTGTTCTATGGGTTTCCATAGGAACTGCTTCTTCACCCAGCATTTTTTTTCCCAGTACTTTCCTCCCACTTACATTTCACCAGCACACACCTTCAGAATTTCCATTGACTTCAAATTATATTAGTGTCTCATTAGGATTTGCTTGTTCAGTCAGGCTCTAAGGTTTAGTGTAGCTGATCTGTTTTGTTCAGGTAACTCCTGTTTTGGGCAGGACTTTCAGCTAATGTAAATCAGTGTATATTTAGTGGTTCCAGTTTATGTTTCTGTGAAGATCTGGTCTACTGATTACTGAATAGAAGGATTTAAATTTACATAGAATATGTTTGTAAGGATATATATTTTTAAAACTGATTAAGAATGGAGGTATAATATAGATAGATTATGGTATGTAGGTAATTCACTACAATCACCAGACACTCCCATTTAGACATTATTCTGCAGGTGTGTCTCAGCAGACAATGCTAGTAAGAGGCATGGCAATTATTTGCCCATTTCTCATCTTTTTGCAGTGTGGGGGTATTTTTTCTTTCCTTTTTTCTTTACATATAGCTGGCGTTAAATCTCTTGCAGTGACGTCTTAATGTATTCTAGTATTTGTAGAGGGAGACAACATAAATGACAGTGAATTGGACTGGAAATGTAAGAAATTTTTCATTTTGAGCTTGGTTTCCCCATCCTCTTTTGACTGCATTGCAACTTTAGGAAGGATCCTTAGAACTGGCAGTCTGATGATCAGAAAGATAAGCTAAACAAGGCCTAATTATTAATTAGAAATGGAATGGAGTTTGTCAGCTGTTTTTAACATATAAATTAATACCTGTTATTTAACCCAAATGCCTCGGTGCAAAAGATGTAGAAAGCTTACAGGAGGCCAGTAGAGGTTGCTTTGGCTGCTGCTTCTTATTATTGTTCTTAAAAGAAAATGTTGTCTGAAATAAATGACCTTTGTCTTTGGCAAGGGTTTTTTGTTGACTTACATGGTGAGTGCTGTACAGTGTCTGTAGCAGTGCACTGAACTCACTGTTGGATGCTAAATATACTCAGCCAGATTCTTCAGGGATTGTGGTCCTTTTTTGCAGCAGATGTAGTACAAGGGAACCGTAATCTACACAGAAATGGTTGACAGAAATCCTTCACACAGGAAGACAACATGTCTGTTGTCCAGCAGACCCAGCATCAGCATTGCTCTGAGATAGGGTGCATTAGGAGAAAATCTGTCATCTATTTGCCTAAGTCCATTAATGGTCCTTCTTTTAAAAGAGAAGTGGAGAGAGTCATGGCTGCTGTTTGAACTAAGACTCAACTGTCTTTACTGGACTGATACAGCCCGTAACCCTAAGGCTTTCTTTTGCTTCCCATGTAATTATTAGAGCTGTGGTACAGAAGAGCACCAGGCCATATCTCAACTGAAATATGAGTTAGATTCTTCTTTTATTTCCATTTGGCTTATTCTGGTGTAAAATAAATTCTAACCAGAAGAAGAGTCAGCTGGAGCCAGGCCTTGTGTCTAATCTAATTAGATTATTAATCTAAACTCAGGTATGTCTTTCTGGTATTTATCCCAAAGAACAGAATCTCCATCAAGACATAGGTTGAGTAGTTTCCAAGTCTTGGTAGGAAGTCTGAGTTCAGATTAAATGTGTCATTGAAAAGTAAAGCTTGTGGAAGTGTAAAAGTAAATTCTAGGTCTGTAAAGGATATTTGGAAATAGTTTCAAGAAGAGTGGTCAGTCATTGTGAGTACTGCTAACACACATGCATCAGACAGTTGTAAAACATATTGTGTAGTCAATGTCTGTTTCAGTTTGTGAAGGTACCGCGGTATTAATTTTCAAGAAAGAAAATTAAGGCTTAGACCTTAGTTTTACAGTTCTTTTCTGTCTGCTCTTTCATAGAAGGTTATATTGCATCACAATGGACAGAAATTGCTCAAGTGCAAATACAGTATTGGGACAACAAGTTGTAGGAACAAGCAAATAATCTGTAGGGTGTCCAGTGCATTATTGAAGCTTATAGTGATTAAATAACAGTGTTAGCAGGTCTAATGCATGAATGACATGGACATCAGAGATTTTGGGTCAAGGGATTTGGAAATAGAAAGAAGGGGGAAAAAAAAGCAAGGAAAATAAAAATATAAGAAAGGCAATTAGAGATATTCTACTATAACAGAATGATACTGACCTCTCAGAAACAGCTTGTATTTTTGTAGTATTGTGGCCTGTATTATGCAGAAGTTATACCACACTGTACCAGTATGTTCTCAACTTCAAAATTGTTCATATAATTCATCATTGTAGAACTTCAGTGCAAGTGTTGTAATCACAGTGAAGAACATGGCATGCTGCCTTATCCTCTATCATGATTTACTCTATAATGAAAGAGGAACATGTGATATATGCAAGGAATAGCAAAGATATATATTTTTGCTCATAAAGAAGTCTGATTTATTATATAATATTCTGCAAATTGCTCCTGCACAGCATATATGTGTTAATTAAGCACATTACAGTCTTTTTCATTAAAATTAGCTCATTTATAATGATGAGTTAACTAGGTTCTTTATAAAGAGAGAGAGCTCTAAAGGCAAATTACCATGAATAAAAACAAGAAGAGATCTGAACTGATTTTAATAAAGTCATGAATAACTTAATAGTGTCTTCAGGTTCCTCCAAAAATAATAAAAAAATAACTTGTCTTTTACTTCTTCTTAGTTTGTTTGTGCAGATGCTGGAACAAAACTAGCTGAGTCAACAATCTTGCATAAACAGATGATTGCGTCTATGCCTGGAGTAAGTACTGAATCTAACTCCACCCCTTAGTTTTGGTTTTTAAAAAAATTATCTTATTCAGCTAATATTGCTTCATTTTAATGTTCTTTCCTTTTCATTTCTCTTCTGGTTGTCAAGGTGTATTCCAGGCAGAGGTTGAGATGCTTCTTCCTTTTTATTAATGTTGGAAAAGTTGTGAACTTGATGTTGCTTCGCTTACTTTCACTGATAATATTTAGTCATGTAACTGACTTTAGCTGGAGCCTGCAATCAAGAAGTCAACATGTGGGGAACAGACCAGCTGAATGCCTCAAAAAATGGTAGCACGGAGGAAAGCTACAAGCCATTGCCTCCATTCTCACAAAAGATTATGTGCTTAAAGAAGGGAGTTAATGGTATTTTTCTGGTAATGTGTAAGGCATTCATCTATATCCTGCTGATGAGTGTAGCTAAATTACCAGTACTCATAATTGCCTAGGTGCTGAATATGCACCTGGTGAATATGAGAGGAAGTAGCACAGTTGGAGGTCTTGACTTGTTCTATGACACATGTGACTGAGTGCCCAAACAGATGGATGAGGGTTAAGCCCAGGTCTGCTTCACAAGCTGAGGAAAAGTCGTTTCCCTGTATGTGTGTCTCTGTCAGGTTTAGGGGTGACCTAATAGTATCTTTCCCGTATATAGATGGTTAGAGAGAAGTCTTTTGCAATTGAGCATTATTTTCAGAGGTTTGAGTATAGTATCTTTTATAATTCTATTATTCAATATTTTAGAACCCATGTGGAATCCTTAGTCCACATAAACTGGATGGAGGATACACTGACAGGGATGCCAGTGACCTTGTTTTACTGTTTGTTATTCTGTCAAGGGAACTGACAGGCATAGCATTTGAAAAGCCAGAAGGTGGTATAGTTCAACACTGTGTAGATTGGTATTAACATAGAAAGATGAGAAGCGCTCAGGTCAGTTGCTTAAAAATAGAATGCCAGCAGTTTTTCAAATTTCAGCCACTAAAACTCAAATTATGGCTTAATAATTTTGTGATCAAAAGTAGATCTGGTTCATTTGTATACTCAGATAGGATAATCGGCCTCTGTGCTTCCAAGTGTAGGTAATTAAATAGAGGGCAAAGAGGAGTAGTTTTGTGCTGTAAACTTTACTGCAGTGTTTTGCCCTGAGCCTATGACTTTGGATACAGTAGTTTTTGGTGACTTCAGAAAGATACCTAATTTGATAATTTCATCCTTTAGCCTCCAACGTTAAGCATTGCTTTTACTTGGCCCCTAAGAATGAGGCATTCATAGTTCCCCTTGAATTCAGCTAGCATTATCTTCACTTCAGACTATTAACGTGTAAACAGAAGTTTATATGATACCTAGTGGGTCAGTCGTATCACCTTCTGAAAGCTTCTCTCCAGGGTTCTCTGGTCTGTTCAAAGCCTTTATTTAATCTGACAGCTTTGTTATGTTGACTGCTTTGCGTCTTGTACTAGCGGAAGGGCAGATTGGTATTTCTCACTGTGTTCTAGGAAAAGGATTATGAAAATTTGTACTGTGGGAATACAACAAGAACCACATTGAGTCCTTTTGTTTTCCCTTTGAGGATGTTTTTGCTCTGGCACAGGTTGCTTCTCAATGCTTACACCTTTACGGTCAAACTGGAGCAGTTCGTGAAGGATTTAATTTATCCCTTATAGTCCTTGCCTCCCCTTTTGAAAATTCCAACTAGCTGAAGTGCCATTAGAATGCTGTATTTAAAATTATTTTGCTTCAGGAATATCCCAGAAACATTTGTTAGTTAAAAAAAAAAGAAAAGGAAAAAAAAAAGTAATACTTAAATTTCAGTGATGTTCATTTTAGTGATGTTTACACATAAAATACCTGAAGCCAGTCATTTAAACTGTTTTTCCATCATGATTAATGTGAACATAAGGGCATCTATGCCTGTAACTGAATTTTGTTTTCTGGGATTGTAGCTGATGGTTCCACTTGCAGAAATGTTCAGCTGCTTGAAGAACTGAGTTGTTAAACTCTCACTGACTTTTTAAGACTTTGATTCTGGACCACTGTAAATTTCAGGATGACATGACAAGGATATTCTTGAAAGTTTCATCAGTTAATCTTTTATTGCTGTCACAGATAAGAGTATTTTATGATGCATGAAGAAGCTACAGTGACTGGGCTATCTTTTTATACTATCATGAGATAAGAGGTCATATTACAGTAAGAAGAAAAACATCAAAGAATTCCTGATTAAATCTAACTAAAAAGTAAAATAAAGGATTTGAGACAGACAAATTGTGTTCTGGTGAACAAGAAACAAAGAACAATGAACAATGAACATACCCAAAACCTGGTACTTAAACTAACTTCTTTTATGTTCTAGTGTGGAACAGCAGCAATGGAATGCATGAGGCAATATGTTGGGGAAGTGCTGGATTTCATTGCAGATATGCATACCTTAACCAAATTAAAGGTTGGTTCTAGGCATACGTTGATCTAAAGTGTATGTGCTTTTTTAACAAAAATATGTTTTCTGTAATGAACTTGCCTGGGAGAAATGATTGAAATTCTTTGAGGATGACTGACAGGTTTTTTTTCTTTCTTTTTTAAAAAATGTTAGTACTGTTGTAGATTAGACACTTCTGGGGGATCAGTAAAAAGTAGCTTATACAGTGTTGAAATGGAGGCTGATTCAAATATAGTGAGTACACAATAAAAATGCAGGCTTGATTTTTCTGAAATGTTGATGATAAGCTAATGTCATACCAAAATCACTGTGAGAAGTAGTAATTTTTCATATAACCTATGGAAACATAAAACTCCTTGCCTGTACAACTAATTACACTCTCCTGGAGGAATCCTGTGTCCCTCATATACACAGACAGAAACTTAAGTTAATTGGAAGTTCAGAGGTTATTAAAATGCAGTAATTGACCTAAAAAGAAAAGGGGGGATGTGTGTACTTTTTCTTATGGATACTGTTGTTTTCATTGTCAGGTTATATTCTGTTGAGGTGGGGAAAACTGAGTGGTTCTTACCTCTGTTGTCCAAACTGCTTTTTGGTTTCTGTACATCAGTTTGATGCCAAATTTTAAGAGGAGTGACAGGAAAATACTTCTGTCACCATGAAATATTTTATTTAGGAATGAATTTCATGAGAACATCCTAGTAATAATTAGCTGGTCAAAACCTGGAATTTCTGTTTCATGGGGGAAGCCAGTATCTATTAAATTTCCTACAAAATGGAAATTCTTTAAGATGTTTTAGAAAAGAACTAGGCTAAGTAACATCGCTGCTGTATGATAGGAAAGAAGTGTAGCTGTTTCAATTGCTAGCAAAGTAGCATCTATTGTTAATAGCTTAAATAAAGGTTTAATGTAATATTTCAGCTAATATATCCCTAATAGTCATAATGCTGTGGAGGGGGCAATATTTATTCTATTTAGCATAACACTATACCATTAGGTAGTTTTATTGTACCACCTGAAGCTGAATACTAAGTGAGCACTGAGCTGGAGGTGAAACTTTGGTGATTAAAAGCCCCCTTTTTTAGACGGAAAACACCTGTCTTATAGTGGAACCATCTGTCACTTCTTAATGTCAGGCAAAGTTAGAGCGCAGTCTTTTGAGCTACATACCGGTACCCTGCACAAGGGTGGATTTCCTTCAGCACATAAAATGGAGGCAGAGGTGTGACTACGCCTTGATGGTTCTAACTTCTGCAAAGCTGGCAAGACAAATGAATGGTGTGGGAGCGCAGCAGAGGAACCGTTACAGATACGGAGAGTCTGTGCTGTCAAAGATGCAGCCAATTCTGAAATCTGGCAGTAGAGTTTTAGTCCTGGTATGCCAGCAACTTGATGATCCAAGGGGAAGTTGGTCAACTGAATGAGATCATTTCATCAGTGGGCACAGTCAAGTAGCTGCCAAGTTGCTTTTATGTGATCTAAAGCTCAGTTGACAGATGCAGAAAAACAGTTCTGTCCTGTTCTGGCTAGTACGAATCGTATTGCCATCGCTTACATGCCTGGGCTTTGGTGCATGTGGTCTTCTAGGGAAGTTCTTTGACTAAACTCTTGCATTTGTTTCTAACCTCAAGAGCCACTGTGCTTCCATAACACAGAGCGCATCTGCTAATAAAGGGTGTTGATGGTCTGTTTTCCTGATAAATCAGTATAGTGTTTCCCTGAAAGGGCCCCTCTACTACTGCAGCAGTCCCCTGCTGAAAGTTACTGGAAATGCACTGGCGTGTTTCATGCCACAGGTTTATGCAAGCATTACGTTGCAGGCAAGACAGAATAAATGATAACCTGTAGTGGATTTCAATACTGGAGTTTACTTATGAAGCAATGAGATGAGAACTTTTACCCTACCCCTGCTAGTTTCCTGCACACTCACTTGCTCACTGTCCCCCTGCCCTCTCCATCCCACCTCATGCCCCAGAGGGGACACCTTATTGCAAGTTAATAATACCACAAAGGAAGAAGAAACGCAACTAAACAAACCCATGTCTCTTGAAACTCGTAGTAACCTTGTTTTACTGGACAAAATATCTCTTTTGTTAAATTCTTACACTGTTGGCCCTATGCCTTGAATCCCATTGAGTTTTAAAAAAATACTCTAATAAGGGAAGCAGCCTTTTGTGCTGGGGTAGAAGTTTACTTCAAAGCACAAACTAATTAATCATTTTCAGCTGAATTGGATTGCCTTCCCACTCTATCCTTTAAAGTTATTCACCCGTTTCTCTTACAGTTCAGAACTGCTTTCAGAATAGGTAGGCAAATGAATCATAAATAAGGGAGAGATACATCTGGTTTGCCAGTTCCACAGAAAAACATGAACTTATCTGAAATGAGGAATGGGGAAAATTTATTTATAAATACTTCCAGGTATTGTCTCTCCTGGGTAAAATGTTTCTGTAGAAAGCTCTCTGCCATTTACACTTTTTCCTTCTGTTCCTTCTCCCTTGAACTGTAGCCTGATTTTTAGAAATACTCTTACAATGCTTAAGTCTGATAAGATGATAATTTCTTATGCTCAGTAGGACTATTTATTTATTAAATTTTTATACACAGATATAGGTAGGACATGCACTAAAAACTTTACCCAGTTCTTCACTTTTATGCTTTGAAATTAGACAAGAAGCTTCCCAAATGTGTAGTCTGTGCATTTGAAACTAAATCAGAACCAAATGGTCTAAAATTTCGTGTTGTTTTGATTTAGCCGTGTAATACAGGAATCTGAGAACAAGATTAACATAATAGGAGAGTTAAATATGACTATAATTTTATGTATTGTAAAGAATAAGGTTTGGCTGTCTTTGGAAAATGAAAAGGCAGTTCTTATTTAACCTGACCATATTATTCTTATTCTTATTCTGTGGTTCCAACATAGTTGGGAAAACATTTGTAAGCATTTCTAAGTTTACAAATATTCATAGCTTCAAACAAATTCACAACATCTAGATTCAAATTCTTGTAAGCTCATTTAATATAGTTACTTATGTTGCTTGGGCTTTATTAACAGAGGTGTTCCTAGCAAGTGTGTCCCAAGATTATCCAGCTGTACAATTTCTTACTATTAGTATATATTATCAACAGCATCTGGACTACCAAACTAATGCAAAGAATACCGTATGATTTATATGGCCAGTAACCATCCCAACAGCAAAAGTTTAATTTTGGTTTTCAGATATTTAATTCGGTGAACAGAAATAGTTAAAGTTGTTTTATGCGTTTCCCATGTCTTATTTTGCATGTCTGAGAATAGTTTCTTTGAAAGAGGTTATTTTAGTCTGGCATATTAGCAACTACTGGAATATGAAAAAGGTATAAATGTTAATTCTCAGGATAATCACATTCCAGTTTATTGTCTGTTCAGTTTATTATCTTCTTTTCCCCTCTGGGATGACATTTTAGTTGGTAAAGCTCAGCTTTACCAATTTTATTTAGAAAATTCCACCATTTTTGAAGCAGTGTAATGTATCTGCCTGCATACCTGTCTATCCTTTTTACCTGGCTCTATAACAAAATCATTAGATATTCATGCTGGTACCTTTTTTTTTTCCTCTTGAAAGAGGTTTCAAGTAAGTGATTTTTGAGAGTGTAAGTTGCTGGGCTTATAAAATACTATTGGTCCACTGATTTTTATCCTGTTATAATAATTTAATAACTGATGACCTGGATTTTCTTGTGCAAAGCATATGGCTCTCCTTTAAGCTGGCAAATGAAGTCAGCATGTGTTCTGTTAGTCTAGTAACAGAAGGTAATGCAAAGTTACCTTAATTAGAAATACAGAAGTATCTCAAGAAGCACCAATGAAACATTCCTTAGAGCTGGCAAAGCAGGATAATAAATTATCTTTCCAGGCATAAATATTTGCATGTTTCTTGGTAAAAGGTTTAGCCCTTTTATTTCCAGTGCTTAAAGGCATTTGTAGCAGCTGAATAGTGCAACATAGTCATATTGCTGGTGAATGAGTGACAGCTTATTTCTGTACATGTAAATGGAATATTGCACCGGGAAGTTATTTCCTGCCCAGATGCTATCCTGTTAAATGGGTGGATTCTTTCATCTTCACTTAAGCTGTCTGGATGTGCAACCATGAGTTTGTATTCATCAGCTGTTGAGTTTGCTGATACAAAAGGTGCCTATACATTTTGCGCAATTCATATTTTGAGTTTTGTTCTGTAGTTTTGTAGACATAGTTAGAGACCCTGAGAAAGGAATTGAAGGAAAATGAAATAGAATACACTGTTGCTTGGAAGAACTTAGTTCAAGTGAAATACTCTTTTCAGGTAGGAAATCAGATCTTTGCCTTGCAGAGTCACATGAAGACTTGTTCTCAGCCACTGCATGAAGACACATTTGGTGGACATCTGAAAGTTGGTTTGGCTCAGATTGCTGCTATGGAAATCACTCGGGGAAACCACAGAGACAACAAAGCTGTGATCCGATATTTGCCTTGGCTTTACCATCCTCCTTCTGCAATGCAACAAGGGTGAGAATGCTTTTCCACAAAAAGGAATACTAAAATGAGTTAGAAATCTTCACAACATTCTGTGTTTATTGCCAGATTTCATAGATAAGACTTGCAGTAGGGAATGGCAGCTGTGGGACATTGAAACAGCTGGTCAGCAGCTCCCTGATCCTTAACTGAGGAGTTCATCAGTGCATTATTTAAAGTACATGCCAGAAGGGCAGTGATGTCACTCCGTTAGCTTGACTGGTGTTACCCTGGAAATTAACTCGATTCTTGATCTAGATACAGACAGTGAAGAGCACACAGGTACTTGATCAGTCCTAGAATTATAGAAAATCTGTTGGAATTTGTAGAGAATACAATGGGAAATGTCCTTTGAAATTATGGAGTGCAAATGAGCGAGAACTGTTAAGTGTAAGCCTATTGATATGATGATAAAAATACCAACTTCGTCTGATTAAAGTTAGATAAGAGCAATCCTGCTCTTCAAGACATGCTTTTTATCCCTTTTCACTGTGAGAAATCCTAATCTGCAGTGTTTTACCTTCAAAGAGAAAGGAGGTACTGTCCCTTGTCTCACAATGACAACAGACAAGTTGTTTTGAGTGTAGACCATTGGACTGTCTTTCAACACACGTGTATTCTTGTCCCAGCTGTGTCCCAGACTCCCTGCCCCAAGATTCTGGGGACTAAGCTGCTTAGGCTCCAGTCCTGTAGATACGTTTGCATGTAGTTTCATGTAGACCATACCTAGTTTTGGAGATACGGAGTTGTTATCTCCTTGCACTTTAGTTTCTTACATGTAAAAAAAGGACTGTGTGTTCTGAGTGGAAGTTAGTGAATTCTTTTAAGACCCTATAGGTACTTGAAGAAGAGCGTTGTATCAGAGTCAGTTAAAAAAAAAAAAAATTGAATGCCTCTTTGGTGCTATGAATCCTTGACAATGACATCAAATTAGAAATAAAAAACAGTAGTGAGCGTGGCCTAGTAAGTAGTGATTTATTGATCGAAAAAGAATTATTTTTTTCCTGTGCCTGTAAATTCAGATGAGTATGTAATCTGAACTTGGTGGCAGCAAGGGGACAGACAAGATGACACCAGAAAAGTGTTATTCCTTTTTAGATGGTATAAGCACATTGCTTTACAATTAGACATTGCACTAGATGGCGGATGAACACTTAAGTGTCACAAAAAAGCATAGTTCCTGCCTTCAAAAGCATGCAGTCCAAATGTCCAGGGAGAGGCTAGGCAAAAGAGAAATTAATTCCACTTTACCGATGGAGAAGTGGAACACAGTGGAAGTAAGGCATGGCGCCTGCCTCAGAGCTCTCTATGGAATGAAGAATTTCCTGCCATTGCCCTGTCAGCCATGTACTGTCCAGGGGAGCTGAGAGGAGCATTTCCACTTGTGCAACCCTTCCCATCTGATGATTTCTGTGTGAAAAATCACTGTGTATGGAACCAGTGAAGCTGTGAATGTTTTAGCCTTTTATAGGGACTGTTTCTTAGACCCACCAAATATGTTCTGTTGGACTTGTTAATGATACGTCAAGTCCACTAAGTTCTCTGTGGTTCTTTCCGTAAGCTGTACCAATGATCTGTGCCTCTGGCACGCTGAGACCGTATCTGCCTACTGTGCATAAGGAGACTCTGTATTTTGGGGAAAACCAGAAAACTTAGCATCATTGTAAAATCCACTCTTTCTTGACAGGCCCAAAGAGTTCATAGAATGTGTCTCACACATTCGTTTGCTGTCCTGGCTACTTCTGGGGTCTCTGACGCACAATGTTGTCTGTCCAAATTCTCCATCATCTTGCATGCCTATTCCACTGGATGCGGGTTCACAAATTGCTGACCACCTTATTGTTATTCTGATTGGGTTTCCAGAGCAATCAAAGGTAAGGGATTCTGAGTTTTAAGTGGAGATGTGTTTTATATTGATCTTATTATTGCAAACACTTATTTATTTCTTCATAAGAAAAAAGGAGGGGTAAAAGCTTATAAGAACCTGGGATCAGTAGTTTTTCTTGAATAGCTGCTGCTTCATGTATAGAAAACTGGTGGTGAAATCACTACAGTTAAGTTTGAGATTCAACTATTTCAATATATCTCAGCACAGGAGTGGGGAAGGAAAAACTGAATTCCAAATTGAAGCTTTAGCAATGACTATCTCTGTAACAAATCTCTAGATCCAAATTGAAGCTTTAGCAATGACTGTCTCGTAGCAAATCTCTAGAAAGTTATTTATTCTAGTTGTATAGTAGAATTGGATAACCTATAAATAATGTTATGATCAAAAGTTAATTATATTGGTTCAAGCACAACTCTTTTTCTCAAGGTGCTCTGGACAAGAAGAGTTATTGCAGATCATAAGACATTTGTGATAGTAATTTAACACAGATATAGCAGCACTCTTTGACACCAACCAGGTTTTTATTAGCAACAAGCAGAATGATCACACATTTATCTTGTACATAAAATCCCCCTTTCTTTCCCCTCACCCGGCCAAGACACTGGTGCTTCCCATTCATTTCTTTGACCTTTTTTTGCTCTTTCAAATACCTCTTTCCAGTTACCAAGCAACCATTGCAATGTTTGGTGCAGTCATACTGCCACAAAGCATGAATCACTGTTGCACTTGCAAACTGAGAAAACATCTCTGACCAGAAGCATCTTTCTTGTAATGAAGTGGTTAATGTCCAGCACTCTTTGAGGCTCAGACACTGTGATAAGGAGCTGTGCTTGAGTATGCAAAATGAATTCTCTGTTACTTTTCAAAACTTACTTTCCTTGACAGTGAGCAGTTCTGTCCCAGCAAGGTAGAAATGGATGACAGATTAACAGAACGGATGTGAGATGATGTATTTTGTATGATAGGCTTCCTTTCAGGTGATCAGAACCTGAATGACTTACCCCAGCAGCATCTTTGAAATGTGGTCATACATGCCAGAGCCTCCAGGTCTTTACCAGATTGTGGTGGAGTTTTCCAGCAAGAAAGTCTCAACTAGTCCTGTGTAGCTGTTCTGCAAAACTAACCTTGTCTTTAAAGGGACTGACCTTAATGCCATACACTAAGATTGCATGGGAGTGTGTGTTTGCAACTGTGGTTTTTAGTCTGTAAATACAAAACCAGTTTTTAAACATGGAGAAGATATTATCAAGCATACTTGACTTACTAGTTCCTAATGGGAGGGAAACGTAGGAAAGTGAAGGGCAAGACTGCACAGTGGGATGCATGACACAGGAGTGCTTTGATGAAAGCCTCTGCACTGTTTCCCGATACACTTATTTAAATAAACATTTTCCTCTATTTTCTATTTCTACAGACATCTGTTCTGCACATGTGTTCCCTTTTCCATGCATTTATATTTGCTCAGCTCTGGACAGTGTATTGTGAACAAACAGCAGTAGCTCCGACAGTCCAGAATCAGAACGAATTTAGCTTTACAGCAATCCTTACAGCCCTGGAGTTCTGGAGCCGAGTGACACCTAGCATCCTACAGCTAATGGCACACAACAAAGTGGTAAGCCACGTGCTGTGTACAGATTTAGTACAGATTAAACTCAGAGAGCTTGGCTTTGTTACAGTGGAATACATCAGACTATGAATAACATCATAAAGCAACTTTGATGCTTTTGAGAAATTAAAGGGAAAGCTAATTAGTAGTGGTTTAACCTCGCAGTGGGCCTGAAACAGGATCTAGCCAGGATGTCCCTGAAACAGATTCAAGAGCTAGACTTGCTGCTTGTTAGATTAAGGGCTCCCTGCATCGGGTCTTATTTTATATATCTTCCTGCTCTTCACTGTGATCCTGTTGTTTCATCTGACTCTGCCTTACAGGAGCAACTGAGTGTTTTAGGATAATTCTGTGAATATCCATTTGAATATTTTTTACCACATGATGGTGAGAAAATACAGAAATGCTGACACTTAACTACTCATAACCCATTGGTTACTCATCAAAAATAAGCTACATAAATATCTCTGGAAACATTTTTGAGTAACGAATGACTTGAAGGAGGTATCTTTAGAGATAAGGTTTGAAAGGGAAATGTTCACTCTGTCCAGAAATTGTCCAGACTGTTTTTTGGAAATAACTTTTTAAGCATTTATCTCAACTGCTCACTGCTGTTGGAGCAGCTTTGTACACTAAGAACCCAGAGAAATTCCAGCAGCCTTCTCATACATGCTACCTTTGCTTCCCATTAACTAATGATTCTCTGTGCCTGCAGGCTTAGGGTTTAGAGCTTGTTTCTGATGGGCAAGATGTATTGTGTTTCCCACTTCCCAGAAAGTCATGACAAGTCTGTCATGACGTGTCAAAGCTTTTTAACTTTAACTGAGATGGTAACTAGTAGCTCTGGCTCTGGAGAACCTGATACTAGCTTTGAGTGAGAAAGATTCTTTACATGTGGCCCAGTCCTCTAGGTCAGATGCTCTTAAGGTTTGGGATTTTCATTCTTTGTTTGGTTTGGGTTTTTTTCTTTTTCTAAATGGAGACCTCCTATCTATATGGAAATTATTTGATGTAATTCCACTTTCCCAATGTGAAACATCTTCCACCCCAGGCAGGTATCGACCTTCACCCTTTCAGTTGTAATTACATGGGTTGCACTTTAATGTCTTTGAACCAGTTAGTATTCCCTTGTGTTTTATCCATATCAGGCAGGGACCACCTAAAGCTGCCTTTAAATGATATTTTAGCCTCTCACATCTGGTGAGGTCTCTGTGGTTGTCAAGCCACTGTTGGGAACAGTAGTTCATGAAGCTCCATTTGAACGAAGAGGCAGTGTGCATAATGCTTCTAGCTAGCCAGTTGTTTAGTCAGACACAAAGGCTTCTTGTCAAGCCTTAGGACAAGAATATGACCTGGAAGTCCCAAGTTCCAATCCTCACTCTGAAAGTATCTCATTATGTGGCTTTAGTGCAAGTTATTAAACTCTCTGCCCCAGCTATTGCTCTGTGAAATGTAGATAATAGTAGTTGCCTGTCTCACCGGGGTGTTGTGAGGTTAATTAGTGTTTGTAAAGCGCTTTGAAGATGAAAAGCACTACATAAAAGCTAAGTTTATTATTATCAAGGGAAATTTACACATAGTTCAGACAGGCACTGTAAATACTCACTGCTGGCTCAGGGCATTTGTCTTGTACCTATGAATTTACACAATATAAAACATAAAATGCTGTCTAGTACCAAATAACAGATATTTGCATCCATCATAATTCATGGTACAAAATAGAAGAATTATGGACTAGCTGCTCTTCTGATGGGGGGAAAAAATGATGTTCTTTCTGGGTATGTTAATTTTCAAAGATTCAGTAAATAAAAATATCAATTTCTGACACAGTGATTGATGAGAACTATACAGCAAAGGCATGTAAAAGGATTTATGTTGTCTGAAAAGAACAAAGCTGAAGGCAACTTGTTTTGATGTGTGATATGAATTAAAATACATCAAGCACTTTGAAATATTTAACAGATAGGTGTTGCCGCATCAGGGGAAAAATAAATAAAGAGAAATGTCCCTTATGTGCTCATGTAATATTTAATCTTATATGTCAGTGGTTACTAAATGCACATCTAGTGATTCAGTATAAATGGCAAGCAAATACAGGAAGATTCTTTCTAGAGAGTGTTGGCTTAGCTTACAGCACTATTAATGCTGGACACTAATTTGTTTTTATGCTTGATTTTTTTTTTCAAGATGGTGGAAATGGTGTGCCTACATGTGATTAGTTTAATGGAGGCTTTACAGGAGTGCAACTCTACTATCTTTGTAAAGGTAGGCATACCACACCATGAATAAATATTCATTCATTATTAGTTAATGATGTTGCCTGTCTATTGTGATTTCTAGACATACTGTCCTCTACTTCCCCTCCCACTCAAAAAAAGAAAGTGGAAGAAGTGGCGGTTGAATGCTAATGCAGAAATAAAACCTAGTAGAGCCTAACAAAAAAATAAAATCTCTGGTAAGAAGTAAGACGAGACCATAATCTCAAATTCAAGTTCTCCTGTTTTTTTGTAAATGAACTTCTGATCTACTTCCTCCCTCCATTGTTGCAATGATCTTATTCCTCTAATAGACTCAGCTGGTGTCACTGACTTTGAGAACCTCAAGGTACTATCTGAATTTTCAGCCATTTTTTAACTTTTAATCATCATAGGTCCTTTGCAGATCACCTCACTGTTCTGATCCTCACATTTCCCTTCCTCCTTCTTCCCCCAGCTCTATATGCTGAGCATGACATCATATGGCATGGAATATCCCTTTGGTCAGTTGGGGTCAGCTGTCCCAGCTGTGTCCCCTCCCAACTTCTTGTGCACCCCCAGCCTACTTGCTGGTGGGGTGGGGTGAGAACCAGAAAAGCCCTTGACCCTGTGTAAGCACTGCTCAGCAAAACATCAGTCTGTTATTAACACTGTTTCTGGCAGAAATCCAAAACATAACCCCATACTACTACTATGAAGCAAATTAACTGTATCCCCACCAAAACCAGCACAGCTGATAACAAAAACTTTGTTCCCCAGTGGTTTTCTTGTTATTATATGCCTACGTGTCTGACTCAGTCAAACACTATTTGACAGTGAATATTCTTCCCCTAGGATGTGTAACAGGGTATTCTTTGGTTAGAGAATCAAATCCTGCATGCTCTATTCATGTAAAATTATTTTTTTGGAAATCAGTGGTCAGTCTCCTGTGGGTCACCACAGCATTTTCAGAACAGATTCCCAAAGGATTGGGCTAGCTTCACAAGCATAAATCAATTTTACTAGCCTTTTTTACATGTTTTCCCATTGCATTATTCTGAAGGGAGTTTTCACATAAAATGTCAACAAATCAAGCAGTTAAAGGCACTCTGAATCTAACTGAAATATGTTGGTTTATATAGTTGTTCTGTTGCCATAAAGGAAACTTCTGACTTGTTTTACTTCAGTCTTTTATGATCAAACAGGAATTGAAAATAAAGTAGCTAAAATCAAAGGTCTTGGTGTCAACTGGCATGAAAGTATTCACACTCATTGTGAAAATCCAAATCCCCTTTACTTAGCCCTAAAATGAAATCCTGCAGGAACAATATACATACATAATAGCATTATAGGATTCGTAGTCCCAGGTTACTAATTTTTTTCGAAACTAATTCTAAAAATAGTTATTGTAGATCTGAAAAGTAAGTGTCATGATTGGGGGAAAGACTTACTGTATGTTTGAAGTCCTTCAGAGAGGCAGAAGTGTAAAGCTTATTCACAGGAACCAGTAAGTGAGCGGCATCTCTATAATTAAAAATTATCAACTTTGAGACTGTCTCTTCTTCAGTGGCATGAAGAAGATCTGAACTTTGTTACTCCTACTTCAGAAGTCTGCAAGGATGACAACTGTTTGAATATTAGTTGACTGGGCATTTTTTTGGTAGCTTGTTTTATTTTAGACAACGTTTTACTGCCCTTTCTTTGATAATGAAACAATTTTATCTTGTGCTTTAAAGCTTTTTTTTTCCCTTTTATTTTAGATATAAGCCTTTCAAACAAGGTTTAGTTCTCACTGAAGGAAAGGACATAGTCTAGTGAGAGAGATTTTTTAAACAGAACTTTCTTAATACTCTTTCAGAGATTCATTAAGCAAAATTAATAATTCCCAGTGACTTTCTTTTGCAACTGAGCACAGTAGCACTGATAAATCCTGACCATTTATCATTCATATATTCATATTTACTGCAGTGCCTTTTATTCCACCTAAGGAATCAGGTGCTGCAAACTTCATTTGTTAATGAAGTCGTTGCATGATTCAACACACACATATTTTTAATGCACCACAATTAGAAGGTGGTGCATATCACATGATGCTAGGCGGTTTATGGGATAGCTATCTTAGGTGGCCATTTTCTGTATGACAGGTGAGGGGAAAATACGTCCTAAAACAAGAGAGAAAGAGAAGATGTAAACAATTCGGCTCTTCTTCACTGAAAGAAGAGCTTTCTTTATGCCTGAGATAAGCACTCCTTCATCTCCTCCTTGTGTTGGTGCTGTGAGGTTTCTTCCTCCTGGTACCATGTTGGCCTTTGCTATTAAATTAAACTCACACTGATAGCATTGAGACATGTCTTGATTGCTTCCTATAGTCTTTGAGCCATTCCTTGTATTCTCAGAGAATATTTTTTGGATCTGATGTTAGACTATCTTTACCAATCTGGTGAGGAAGCCAAACTTTCTTTCCTGTGAAAACATTTCAACCATTTTATGTATTTATTTATTTACTTATTCATTTGTATATATTATTTATTGTAGTGTTAGGTTAATGGTTGGACTTGATGATCTTAAAGGTTTTTTCCAACCGAAACGATTCTATGATTCTATTTTTCTTTCTAAGTTGGAGAGAGAGAGATACACACATTTACGCAGATGCACGCATACCCACATATATATTTAATTCATTTTATTTTCCTCTGAGGGGAAGCATTCTGCTTTAGGAGGGCTGAAATGAAAGTGTTCAGCTTTCCTCCTGTTTTTCTGTGTCAAAGGAACTGGGAAAGTAGCCATCCCAGGACAGCCATTGATTATGGAGGCCAGCTCCTTGCTGACCGCAGCTCTCTGTCTGACCATCAGATGTATTTCTGAGGAATTTGGGAGCCTACAGTAGTGAAGGGAGCAGCTCAGCAAACTGCAACGCCTTTTCCAGAGACCCGGGGGTTTTAGGCAGCTTCAGCAGCTGCTGGGTAGATTTCTAGAGAACTGGGCAGGCAGCAGAGTAGGTGAGCCAGAAAAGCACAGTGACTGTTCTCCAGCCTGGCTTCCATCAAAACTTGCACTGGAATCAACATAATTCTGTTGAAAATACAAAGTCCAAAAAAATTGACATTGTCTGACAGCAGTCTGTTCTTCCAGCTGTTCTTTCTAACTAGCTTTATGTATTCTTCCTTTGTGAAGAAAAGGCTGGCTGGGGATTAGGTAATAAAACTCAAGTGCTTCAATAAAAATGTCTTCTTGTCTCATGTATCTATCTGGCAGCTGTAGGAGTGGAGGGTTTGCTTGCTTGTGCCTGCAGCAGAATGTTTCGTTTCCCTAAATGTGTCCCGACCCTGGAAGACAGAAGTGGCGCTGGAAGACAATGATCTGTATCTAACCTTAGACCTCTACAGCGTAGATACCAAGAGCTAGTTTCTGTGAGCGCCCTTTATAGTCAGTGGAGATAAACAGGTATTTTTGGACGTGATTCATCTTGATCTATTTTAGATACCTGCTTTGGGACAAGATGAACTGGATGTGAGAAGTGCTTGATTCTCTCAGCTGGCTGTAAAAGATGTCCAGTGAATTGGTTCAGATACAGAGGGGTACCCTGGGTTTTCTGCCTAGCTTCCCTCCTTGCTTGACATACTTCTGACACCAGTCCTATCACCACTGGCTAGCTCCGTAGGAATGTCATTAATGCTGGAGGAAATTTTCAGTGACATTTTGTTGATGGCAGTGGGGCATGGAGCTTGGCTTCTCAGTATGCTTACCTGTTCCCTCCTCTCTAAAAAAACACATCAGGACTTGAGGTCACTGGATCTTATTAAGCACTTCATTAGTGTGAGAGCTTACAGAAGGATGTACAGAACTCGCACGTCTGCTGCATCTGGCTGCATTCCAGCTATTTTGGCATTAATCTATCTGTAAATGCTGAGGTTTGAATATGGTTTTTCATGTGGTAGACTAAGTAATCAGTCCTGACAGAGCTGCATGATTCTCCAGCAAAACAGCACTGAAATTGAAACAATTATTGTTCCTTGCACAAGGGAAACAGCACTTTATCTAATGTTGTCAATAGTGATTAGGTTTACCTTGCAGCTCCCAGTAGCATAACTGGCAAATTGCAAATTTTAATGCCATTTGGAGGAACATTTTGGAACAATAATCTCAATGGTTAAATTAATATTAGAGAACATGAATACTTTTGCTAGAAATGCCTCTGTCTTCCATAAGCTTGTCATGTTATACTTCCTCAGAAATAAAAGTTCTCTGAAGAGCAGGAGACTGAAATACATACGGATCCAATCATGGGTGACAGATTCGCAGACCTCCTCGCGTTGTTGTTCTGGATAGTTAGTTTTCACCTGTGCTCCCAGGTCACATTCTGCAATGAAACACTGATGTGACTAGTGGCTTATAAAATGCTGGCTACCATTTAAATATCTGGCCAATTATTAGGAACTTCTGCAGCATGTTTTTTCAGTTCTTGATGTATACCTTGCCATGCAGAATGTCTGCTGTGTTTCTTCCAGTATTGCTTACCTGCATGTACAGAAGCACCCTCACAAGGAAAATAAGAAGCGATTTCCTTTAACAAGTTTTTATTCTGTACTCTCATTGTTGACTTAAACAGGATATCAGTAATTGCTGCTGGTGATTCATCAAGCTACAAACAAGGGAAGCTGGCTTCTTTACCTCTCAGAGTTACCTGCCCCAAAACATATGCATAATTTAAAAATAACCACATTTTCAGATCTGTGGTTCAGGCTATGTCTATCCAGACAGCTAAATGCATTCAGTATACCCTTCTCTGTCTCACAGTAACTGGAGCATGTTTACAATCACTTGTATAATAAAATATACCTCTCTTCTTACAGCTCATACCAATGTGGCTGCCAATGATACAGTCAAATCTAAAAGTAAGTTGTTTCTAGTACATTACGCTTTTATTCTTAGTGTTACACATTTCTGTAAATTCTGGAAATAAGATCACTAGATGTGGTCTCCAAACTTTCTGAAAATAGATCGCTGTAGCATATCCAGATGCACTGGATGGCTCAGCACTGAAGATCTCAGGTGTGAGTATACATGGAGGAGCATCATCAGCTAAGATACCTGTCCTGTAATCAGTATTGCTCTCCCTTTCCCTTCTGAAACACTTTCCTCTAACCAGGCTCTGCAGCAGGGCCTTTCCTCCCTGTTTACTGAGATTGCTTGTTCCCTGAGCTGTGGTTTTCTTGATGTTTTAGGCTTGAGAGTCCCCTCACAAATCAGGATTGGGACTCTTGACCCAGGAAATGGATTTTGGTTCTATAGCAGATATTGTGGGCCTGCTTGCTTGGGTAAAACTGTGCCAGCTGGCCCTGTTTGTAAGAGGGAGCAAGGTGGATCAGCGTGGTTTGCCAGTCAAGAGAATTTTGTTGATGACAAAAATAATGACAAAAACACAATAAAGGTGTTGGAGTTGATCTCAGTAAGGAGTTGTTTCTGTAAGCACATTTGCCTTTCATGGCAACACTACAGTGCAGGATGTGGAAGAAAGAAATGTGACGTTGGGGCAGTGGAGGAACTCTCCCTGGCCAACAACCAGTATCTTCACAGTGCTGTATTAATGTATGTATTAAAGGAAGGAAACTGAATGTTTTGCATTATTTCAACAGCATTTATCTGCTGGACTCCAGCTACGTCTCCAAGCCATCCAGAGCAATGTCAACCATCACAGCCTAAGGATGTTACAGGGGTCAGGACAAATGAACAATAGCTCATCTGTGCTCCGCAAATGGCTACAGTGTACCCAATTTAAAATGGCTCAAGTGGAAATTCAGTCGTCAGAAGCTGCATCTCAATTTTATCCTTTATGATTCATGTCATTTGTTCCAAATGTTCATTTTTAGCCTAGCAATAACAGGGTTAGAGCTGTAAAAGACCTTTTGTATAAATCGGTATACAGAGTATATACTGTATCTATACTTTTTAGCCTAGGACAAATTGTGGAGAAGCTTATAATGGGTGAAGCTAAGAGCCTGATCCTGCCAGTCTTTAATTACACTTACTCAGGATCAACAGGTTCTCGAGTCTGCATTCATGAACATGTAGTATTTGCAGGATCGGACTCAAATCTATCACATTGTACATATCTCTGATCATGGAAATATCTTGTTCTTAAATGTTTCTTTACATTATTTTTGAAGCTAAGATAAAAATCACTTTTCTTTAACTTCTATTTTTTTTAAAAATAGAATTGTGGGTATTCACAAACATGGAAGTGCTATGTTGCTATTTTTTGACGATAAAAGAAAACAGGGTTTTTAGGAACCTTTATAGGAGTTTTTTGGGGTTTGTCTTTTTTTTTAGATTCATAGCTGGCAATGCAATAAAACCTGTCACTAGAAGACAGTCATGTTCTAATAAGGCTTTTTGTCATCTTCATCTGTGAAAACAGCAGCTTGTAAGGAGAGGTATTATAAAGTGCACTTAGAAATTAGCTTGTTAAACTGTGCCAATTCATTTGTCTTTTTCTTCAGTACTGTTTTCCAAAACTGCCAAGTCTGATTTATTATTTTTTGAAATATTGCTTTTATTCATTGATTCTGTGCTGCTCTTCTTTGTAGGTTTCATGGAAGCCTCTTTAATTTTGTGACTACTGTATTGTATTCTTCTGTCAATACTTGTTTACAGTGCAATTAAAAATGGATATTCCAGACTTATTCTTATTGATGTCTACAGAAATTACATTGCAGACTTCAAGAGGAGCATGAGTGGACGTGAACTTTTGCATAATGATATCTACAAATCACACCATTTGCACACTATTGTATTAAACATGAGGTTTAGTAACAGATGGATTTTTAATATCATTAAGGGACTCAGCCAAAGCCCATTGGAATCCAAGGATTCAATCAATTCAGTGGATTTTACATAAACTCTTGAGAGCACCATGATTTGCCACCTTTTGTAATTAATACTTAAATCTGTGCAATCACAGTTGTATTTTCTGTATTTATTCCTGTGATGCACTGATTAGAAGAATAACAAACACACATTTAAGTTGTGTATTAGTAGGCTATTAAATTCCTAGTCTTTATTACCACTCTCAGAATCAACATTTTTCCTCCTTGATTGCGTGGAAGTGGAAAGGCATACCTGTAAAGAACTGCCTGAGTACATTTCATTGTTGGAGGAGGTCAATATTTCCTCAGTGCATTTACCACAGAAAAAGTGGAAATGTTTGCAGATACACCATTAAAGTACCAGTATGCTTTAAAAAAAAACAAACAACCCCCCCCCCCCAAAAAAAACTAACCAACCACCCAAACAAACAAAAGACAGTAAAGCGTGTGCTAGCTTGCTTAAAAGATGCCCCTGTCTGTTTTCAGTGGAGAGAAACTGATTTGGCTTTCTTTGCTTCCCAGTTTTTCACATTAATATAGTCTAAGCTTAAACTGGACTGGTCTATCCAAAAGAAAATCTAAGATTCATCATAAGCTAGTTTTGCTGGTATTTGCTTGAGGCAAGTGACTTGCATCTGACTAAGCAGAGTTTTTGAGTTTCTGGAAAACATTTCTGTCTTGAAGATTATTAAGAGATCCACCAGATGATAATTTCTCAGTGTTTCAGGCATTGTTTTTTGTCAGGCTGAATTGAGATGGCACAGACCTGCATGCATTGATAAGGGAGGGTTTCTTCCCAAATTTTCATAGTGGTAAGAGAGGGAAACAGCATTCTTTCTCCACCTTTTGACTGACTTAGGGGGAAGAAAGAAAAAGGTGATACAGAAATGATTATACATGTTCCTATCCCTTCCTTTTTCTGCTCCCTTGTTACTTACTAATCAGCTAATAGTGATTACATGATCATAGAATCATAGAACCATAGAGTCATAGAATGCTTTGGGTTGGAAGGGACCTTTAAGAGGTCATTAGCCCAACCCACTGCAGTGAGCAGGGACAGCTTTAATCAGATCAGGTTGCTCAGAGCCCTGTCCAACCTGACCTTGAAGGTTTCTAGGGATGGGGCCTCCACTACCTCTCTGGGCAACCTGTTCCAGTGTTTAACCACCCTCATTGTAAAAAATTTCTTTCTTATGTCTAGTCTAAGTCTATTCTTCTTTAGTTTAAATCCGTTATTCCTTGTTCTGTCACAACAGGCCTTGCTAAAAAGATTGTCTCCATCCTTCCTATAGGCCCCCGTTAAGTACTGAAAGGCCGCAATAAGGTCTCCTCACAGCCTTCTCCAGGCTGAACAACCCCAAATCCCTCAGCCTGTCCTCATAGGAGAGGTGCTCCAGCCTTCGGATCATTTTAGTGGCCCTCCTCTGGACTGCTATATGGATCATAGAATGGTTGAGGTTGGAAGGGAACTCTGGAGGTTGTCTGGTCCAGGCCCCCTGCTCAAGCAGGGTCACCTAGAGCCAGTTGCCCGGGAACATGTCATGGCTTTTGAATATCTCCAAGGACAAAGACTCCACAACCTCTCTGGGCAACCTGTGCCAGTGCTCAGTCACCCTGAAATTACAAAAGAGTTTCCTGATGTTCAGATGGATTTCTGAAGGCCGGTCTTGCTAGTAGAGGCTGAGACAAAGATGACACTCAGTATTTCAGACTTTACCATATCCTGTGTAACCAGGTCCCCCATCTTATTCAGCAGTGGGCCCACATTTTCTTCAGTCTTCCTTTTGTCACCTGTGTACTTATAGAGGCCCTTCTTATTGTCTTTGACATTCCTTGGCAGGTTCAAATCCTGCTGGACTTTAGCTTTCCTAACTTCATCCCTGGATGATTGGACAATGTCTCTATTCCTCCCAGGTTACTCATCCTTGCTTCCACCTTCTGTATGCTTCCTTTTTATGTTTGAGTTTGGGCAGGATCTCCTTGTTCATCCACACAGGTCTCCTGGCTTTTTTGCCTGACTTGCAGCTCATGGGGATGGACTGCTCTTGAGCTTGGAGGATGTTATCCTTGAATACTAACCAGCTTGCTTGGGTCCTTCTTTCTTCCAGGTCCTTGTCCCATGGGACTCTTCTGAGCAGATCTTTGAAGATGCCAGAATCTGCTTTCTGGAAGTCTAGGGTTGTGAGCTTGCTTTTTACCCTGCTCCCTCCCCTCAGGATCCTGAACTCCTCAATCTCATGGTCATTGCAGCCAAGGCTGCCTTTGACCTTCATATCCCCAACAAGCGCCTTGTTGTTGGTCGGTATGAGGTCCATCAGAGCACCAGTCCTCATTGGCTCCTCTATCACTTGGGTGAGGAAGTTGTCATTGATGTACTCCAGAAACCTCCTGGATTGCTTATGCCTTGCTATGTTGTCCCTCCAGTAGGTATCAGGGTGGCTGAAGTACGCCATGAGGACCAGGGCTTGCAAATGTGAGGATGCTCCTATCTGTCTGTAGAAGGCCTCATCCACTTGTTCTTCCTGGTCAAGTGGCCTATAGCAGACATCCACTACAGTGTAACCCCCTACGTGTCTTCTCTTTAATCCTTGCCCATAAGCTGTCGGCTTGCTCCTCATCTATCCCCGGACAGAGCTCCATGCACTCCAGCTGCTCTCTCACAGAAGGGGCAAACCCTGCTCCTTGTCTACCCAGCCTGTCCTTGCTAAAGAGCCTGTATCCCTCCGTTGCAATGCTCCAGTCATGGGAACCATCCCACCATGACTCTGTGATCCCAACGAGACTATAGTCCTGCAGCTGCACACAGATCTTGAACTCATCATGCTTATTCCCCATACTGGGTGCATTAATGTACAGGCACTTCAGGGAGGCACCCCAGCATGTGGATTTCCTGGAAAGGGTTTTGGGGGTTTCTCCATCATGGTGGCCAGTAGGCTCTTCCTCGCTCACATGCAAAATGCTCATGGTGATCCCAGTTGAGCCTGTTTTGTTGGTCTGTGATCCCTTCCTGTCACATCACCTCAGGCCCTTCATTCATTGAACCTGTCCATCACTCCCTCACAGGGCTGCAGTTCAAAACTGATTATGTGGAAGCCAGTTGTAACTTTGGGTTTCAGGCAAAAAAGAGCTGTGGACTGTGTTTTCTGTGGGACTGACTCTTCCATTCCCGGGCTGTGTCTTCTTCATGCCTGTGTCTTCTTCATGCCTGTGTTTGCGATACAGATAACTTTGCTGGGTAACCACATAAATAGGGCCCAGGCTTATTGTGGGGTCTAGTGTCACCCTAGTGAAATGGAGGTGTGTCATGGTTTAGCCCCAGCCAGCAACTAAGCACCACGCAGACGCTCGCTCCCTCCCCCTACCCCGATGGGATGGGGGAGAGAGCCGCTCGCTCACTCTCCCTATCCCGATGGGATGGGGGAGAGAATCGGAGGAGTAAGAGTGAGAAACACTCCTGGGTTGAGATAAGAACAGTTTAATAATTGAAACAAAATAAAGTACAACAGTAGTAGTAGTAGTAATAACAATATAATCATAACAGTAGTAATAATATACAGAGCAAGTGATGCACAATGCAATTGCTCACCACCCGCCGACTGATACCCAGACAGTTCCCAAGCAGCGATCGCTGCTCCCTGGCCAACCCCCCCCCAGTTTATATACTGAGCATGACGTCACATGGTATGGAATAGCCCTTTGGTCAGTTTGGATCAACTATTCTGGCTGTGCCCCCTCCCAGCTTCTTGTGCACCTGGCAGAGCGTGGGAAGCTGAAAAGTCCTTGGCTAACATAAGCAGTACTCAGCAACAACTAAAACATCAGTGTGTTATCAACATTCTTCTCCTACTAAATCCAAAGCACAGCACTGTGCCTGCTACTAGGAAGAAAATTATCTCAGCTGAAACCAGGACAAGGTGCTATTGGACCCCTTAAAGTGAGACAGAGACGAGAGAGAGATTCCTGTGTTTGATCTGTTGTGACCTGGTGAATCTGAAAGACAAAGGCAATGAGAGGGAGGAAATATGAGGACCTTGGGTGTGAGGTGGGTATATTCAGATGGGTATAGCAGGGATTGTTGAAACTTAAAGGATGAAAACAGATGATTCGTGGGGAAGAGCAGAGCCTGAGAAAGTTTGTCCTTAAAAGCCTCTTCTAGAAAGTAGAAGCCATGATCAGGCATCTCACTCAGCGGATAATGAATGTAGGCAACATGGCACAAGTGCTTTCCCTGCCTAGCAAAATTTCTGCCTCAAAGCATCTAATATTCAGACTGGCAAAACACACAAAAAAAGCAGACATAGTGGTGGGCTGTTATTAAGCCAAAACCAGACCTGCTGAATCCAGGTCCATAACTAAACACTTCAAGACTTTGTGGGAATTTATATCTGGCTTCAGCTCGGGGTTTAGAGATAAAAGTTGGTCACAGAACGTACTTCCATACCTGAACATAGGGTTTAGTATGCATCTGTCACCAATTATAATTAATGTGGTTCTTACAAAGCTGTTATATATAGGCAAATGAAGACTGTAAATATGAATTGAGAAGCTGCTTTAGCATAGAGAATACAGCCTGGAAGAGGGTATGACTGATGACTGGGGATGTGTTGACTAATAATAACAAATAACATGGGGCTTGAGCAGATGTGCATGGTTTAACATCTCATGAAAATCTCTAAGTGCACTCCAGGCATCTTCAGAAGTACAGATATCTGCATTAATTGTTTTTAAAAGCACTGTAAAATATATCTTTACGGTGCCTGAGGTCAATATAGAACTCAAGTGAGTCACTCACATTATCTCTCTGAAATAGCCCAGAGCAGCAATTCTTTATAGTCTGTAGGAAGATTAGGAAGTAAACAACATTTGGTGTTCCCTGAAAATGCTACCGAACAGCAGAGGCCGGTCTTCCTGCTCTGCCACGCTCCCAGCATGGCTGTGTCTCTGGGGATGCGTCACCAGGAGCAGAATCCATGCTCTGATCATACAGAGCTGCCGTTTAGGAACAGCGTTCAGTCGTCTGTTGCGATAAGCTGCTTAAATCAATGCCTGTTACCAGGCCTGACCCAGTAAAGGAATCAATTTACCCTGTGCCGAACTGTGAAATTTTCAACGGCACGGGGCACTTTGGATGAAGCAATGGTTGAAGCCCCACACCGGCCGCGGCACGGCGCGGCGCACCGCCGAATTAAGTGACTTGGTG